ATCAAAGCTTTTATGAAGCAGCCTTTTAGTTAATGTGGCCTTGACTCCAGCATTGGCAAGGGCAAAAGTAAATAAAGAAACCTTATGAAAGTCTATACCCTATGGCCCAGTAATTACACTTATAGAAATGTAGCCTTAGGGAATAATAAGAGATATGGAAAGGATATTTATATGCACTGATATTTATCCAAAAGTTAATTAAAATAGTAAGATTTTGGAAACAACCTGGAAGTCCAACAATAGTAATAGCTAATACTAACTAGCCAGAATGCTCCTTAGAAGGGAGGATGGCAAGACTTTGTCTCACGTACTTTGGACAGGTTATCAGGAGGAACGAGTCCCTGGAGAAGGACATCATGCTTGGTAAAGCAGAAGGTCCGCAAAAAAAAGGAAGATCCTCAACGAGATGGATTGACACAGCAGCTGCAACAGCCGGCTCAAGCATAACAATTGTGAGGATGGCGTGGGACTTGGCAGTGTTTCGTTCTGTTGTACATAGGGCCGTTCTGAGTCAGAACCGACTCGATGGTACCTAACAACAAGAACAACACAATGATGGCTTTGAACAACTTTTAACAAAGTGAGAGATGGCTTGTAATATAATATTGAACGAAAAACAACATATCTCAGCTAGGGTACAGACGTATACAAAAGACTTAACAAATAAAAAGAATGACTTTTTCTAGTTTGCAAATAGAAAATCGTGTTTTCTTCTCCATACTCTTCTGTACTTTTCAAATATCCTACAGTTAGTGTGCATTGCTTGCACAATCAAGGAAAATAGTTGGTTTTAAGAAGAAAATAACTCCACGTTAGAAGATTCTGAGAATCAGTGCTAAGTGGCTTGGCTCCATCACAGCCCATGGTGGTGGGGAATGGAGCCTTGCAAGCCCAGGCAGCTCCCACACACTGTGGCCAGCCCTCAGAGTAGCAGTGCTTTCAGTCTCTGAGTGAAAGAGGCTGCTTGCAGGGTAAACTGTGCTGCCGCACCCTGAGCCTTTCTGCTATGGAAGTGAGGTTATTTAATGGGGCCAGTGACCAGAACAAAGTAAGTGTCAGAACCAGATGGAAATGTTCACTCTTTAACCTCCTAGCTGGATGACCTTGGGCAAGGTATTTATTCTTTCTATGCCTTTGCTCCCTCGTTCATAAAATGAGGGCAATGTTATCTACCTGACTGGGATGTTGTGAGAATTTAGTGAGAGAAGGCATGGAAGTCTACACATCACCTGGAACATAGTTAAAACCAGTTGCCATCAAGTCAACTCCAACTCATGGCGACCTCATGTGTATCACAGTAGAACTGTGCCCCATAGGGTTTTCAATGCCTGATTTGTTGGAAGGAGATTGCCAGGGCTTTCTTCCTGAGTGCCTCTGGATGGACTTGAACCTCCAGCCTCTTGGTTAGCAGCTGAGAGTGTTAATCATTTGCTCCACCCAGGGACTCCTGAACATAGCTCCAAAACAAACAAACAAAAAAACTGTTGCCCTTGATTCAATTCCGACACATAGGGACCCTGTAGGACAGAGTAGAAGTGCCCAATAGGGTTTCCAAGGCTGTAAATCTTCATGGAAGCAGACTGACACATCTTTTTCCAACGGAGCAGCTGGTGGGTTCGAAGTGCTGACCTTTCAGTTAGCATCCGAGTGCTTAACCACTGTGCCACCAAGGCTCCGGAACATACTTAGTGCTCAACAAATGGTCATTTAAAAAGAAAAATAAAGCACACTTTCTCCACAGTAGATGCAGAATGATGAGGTTGAGGAGATTGATTTGACATCATCCCTAAGAAACAGATGGAACACATTATTGTTAAAGTCAGGGCCTTTTGAAACATTTTGATTAAATTAGGCTGGGATTTGGAGTGGGCCAAAGAATGCAGTTACATTATGCTTCTAAGTTTTGTACAAGAATGAGAACTAAATTGCTTGTTTGAAACCACTCTAAATTCCCTACAAACATTATCTAAGGCTGACTCTAAACTCCAATGTCAGTGTGTGTAAGTTATATAAAAGTTCTTACCAAATCAGAGTTAGTACGGATTTTCTGAGTATACTCAAGTATGTGTTGTGAGGGTACTAGGCATAAGTTTAACATTCTGTTGCAGGGACAGAATTGTCTCATTATGGACATAACACCACAGACATTAAACAAATAACGAAAGTATCGTGAAGGTTTTCTAGCATGTTAAGCTATACACTGTTGATTAGAGCTGATATAAACAATGTTTTCCAGTGATAAATGTTCTGTGTGTGTGTGTGTCATTCTGTGTTTGTGAATGTTTTTGTATGTTAAAATACTTGATGAAAGATACGAATAGAAGATAGGTGGTGGTGGTCATTGTTAGGCAGCCTCTGACTCAAGGCGACCCCGTGCACCATAGAGTGAAAAGCTGCCTGGTCTTGCTCTGTTCCCAGGCTCAGTTGCAGATTGGAACATAGTGATGCATAGGGTTTTCAATGGCTGGCTTCGGAAGTAGATTGCCAGGACTTTCTTCCTAGATGTGTGAGTTAAGGGGATGGGATTAGGGATGGTTCTTTTTCTCTCCTCCACACCTCCCCTTTAACAGTTTTTTTTCTATTATAATTACTGCTTTTATAATGAAGAATGCTAAGTATGATTTAAAAAGAAATAACCTAGCCACTTGGTGGCAGTATGCCATGAAGAATATAGTCTACATAGCTTCATTTCAGTCCTATGATTAAAAATTTTGTCACTGACTTGATTTCTCTTCTGGCAATTTTGTTTATAAGTTGTCTTAATTCAGTTATCTGATTCTTTGTGGAATTACCCTCTGATAATTAAGCATCTCTTTCAAATGACTTTAATTTAATCTAATTTAAATTAACACACCTGGTTGATTTAAAATCATGATAACAGACTGAAAAGGAAGATTGTGTTTGTTCCCTAAGCAGACTAATAAAGCCCTAGTCAGATATGAAAATTATTCTTATGTGATGCAAATTAATAACTGAAGTTTCATTGACAAAGAACCGCCTGTAGTTTATATAACAGAATTACATTAACCTGTATTAAAGAAGCCCTGGTGGTGCAGTGGTTAAGCATTCCGTTGCCAACCAGAAGGTTGGGAATTCGAGCCCACCACCCGCTCTGTGGGAGAAAGATGTGGCAGTCTGCTTCCGTAAAGATTTACAGCTTTGGGAACCCTATGGGGCAGTTCTACTTTTTTTAGTGTTGCTATGAGTCAGAATTGACTAGATAGAAATGTTTTTTTTTTTTTTTTTAATTAAAAGTCAATCCCTACCCCCCCAAAAAAAACACAAAAAACAAATCCGTTGCCATCGGGTCAATTCCAACTCGTAGCAACCCTATAGGACAGGGTAGACCTGTCCCATAGGATTTCCAAGCAGCGGCTGATGGGTTTGAACTGCTGATCTCTCGGTTAGCAGCCGAGCGCTTAACCACTGCGCCACCAGGGTTCCTTACAGAATCATATATGATCTTTTAATAAAAAAATATTAATTTTAAAGTAATAAAAGTGAAAACAAAAGTAACCCAGCAGCACATGCTGTAAACCCAGGATTTTGCCAAACTGAAAATCGTGTGACCTTACAATGTAATATTTTTATACTTAAAATTTCAAAAGAATATAGATGCAAACTCCTGCTTGAGCTCCCTGAGAATGAACATAAGCCTATAAAACGCTATTTTCGATTAATGAACCTGGCTGTTGGCCAGGAAGACATAAACTTGATCCCTCAGAGATTGGAGGAAACACATACCCAGGGAGCAAAAGAGACAGAAAAGCATTGAGAAGCCAGAAAGGATTTCTGATTTGTCACAAGTTCCCAGTGAAACATTCTCCTCTGGCTGTAGAGAAGCAGAATAAAAACATAGGAAAGAACTTTTGCCTTTTTTCTGATGGTTTCATCTTCTACAATCCCCTACCCACTGTTCTTAGGAAACGACCCTTCCGTTGAGCTTGTGCCAGCATTTTAAAACAATTTTTAAAGACCTGGGGGAACTTTTTTATGGGGAAGATCTGATGTTTTTTTCAAAGAGAGTTGCATGGGCCACATAGCTTATTACACAAGCCTGTGATATCTCGGTGGCAATTAAGAACACCTCAAGTTGTGATTTTTCTCTGTCCTCAAAAGTAACTAAACAAAAAAAAAGAAAGTAGAATTTGAATACTGAAATCAGACTGCCTAAATAAATAGGTTTGAAGCACTCTCAGGGATCCAGAGTGTAGACCCATCTTCAGGAATGTCTTCTGTCAGCTGGGAGAATTATGGCCTTGAGGTCACCTCTGGCAGTTTTGAATTATCAGGAGGGAGGAGATGAGCAAGGCAGCCCCAGGATCCTTTTGAGTTCAGACTGAAAGTGAGGTAGCTGCCAAGGCTGCTCGCCCTGCCCTGGTCAGAAGTTTTCATTAGCGGTATCCTGACATCCTTTCTGTGGATTAATAGACAAGGCTGGTCAGGATCCTTGCCAGCAGGAAAAGAGCTGAGGGAAGTCATTAATGACATTCCACTGCATGTTACAACCCAAAGTGTCTGCTAATCAAAATTGGGCTTCTCATGTGTAGCCAAGAGAGGGTGAACAGCATTTCAAAGATTGTGCAAAGGCGAAAGTGACCAATCTTGGAGATTCTTAAGGAAACCTATTCTTTATTGCATCATCTCTTGGAAGAAATCTAGTAGAGATCTGCTCTTGTGGCAGTTTTCCGGCTCAACGAAATAAAGCTCCTAGGTATTTGTTGCCTAGAAGCTTCGTGAAATTAGCAGATACACCCTGAAGTTTTATAAACCTTAGGTAGGTTTTATAGTCTTTGCAGTGTTTCCTCTTTTAGGGTTTACCCAATTAAAGAAGAAAAAACATACAGTGAAAGGCATTGCCTTTATTCCTTTGCTCACGTCTGTTAAAGTTACTGGTTTACTTTTTATAATTTCTAAACAAGGGGAGAAACTGTCTTAGGAAATTGGGCAACCTGTGCGCAAAATGCAAGAAGCTGACACTGTTTTCTTTTTTGTTTAAGTTCCCCAGGTCACACCAAAATCATCCCAACATGAGACTCAGAATTCTGGGCTTCTAATTACTTCCATCTTTAAAGGACAACTTACCACTGGTAAGAAAATACCACTTTGGTTTTTGGAGTAGTCTGCACTAATTGTTCATGTTAACCCTCTATTTCAGTTACCAAGGAGCCCTGGCGGTACAGTGGTTAAGCACTTGGCTGCTAACTAAAAGAAAGATTGGCATTTTGAACCCACCAGCCGCTCCACAGGAGAAAGATGCAGCAGTCTGCTTCCATAAAGATTACAGCCTAGGAAACTCTATGGGGTAGTTTTGCTCTGTCCTATAGAGTCACTATGAGTCAGAACTGACTCCATGGCAACCGGAATGGGAACAGGTCTTAGTTACCTAGTGCTGCCATAACAAAAATATCATAAGTGGGTGGCTTTAAAGAACAAGAATTTATTTTCCCGTAGTTTTGTAGGTAAGAAAGCCAAGTCAAGGCATGGGCTCTAGAGCAGGGTCCTTCCTTGTCAGTAGTCCCAGATGTTCCTTGGATGGTAGACACATCTTCACATGTTCTCCTCCCCCAGTGTGGGTACCTCTCTCCATGTCTGCTTTCCCTTTTTATAAGGTATCATTCAGGAGGGTTTAGGAACCCCCCTACTCTGGTATGATCTCATTAACATAACAAAAGAAAAGCCCTCCCGCCTTCCCAAACAGGGTCACGTTCACAGGTACAGGAGTTAAGACTTCTAAATATGTTTTTGGGTGACAAAATTCAATCCATAATACCCTCCATACTGAAAAATCACATGTCAGGCATAAGTTTCTGGGTAATAAGATGTTTAATCAACTTTCTATATGAAAAAAATCAACAAAATACAAAAGTCTGCTTAAAATTGAATTTAAAGAGTCGTGTAGGTGGACTTTGCCAGTTTTTGCAATGGGTTAGATACATTTTCATTTCAATAGGTGCTGGGGTTCAAGGTCCCAAAACTTCATCATCTTTTTTTTTTTTTAAATACATTATTTGTATCTACCAGTGCTGGGGGTTTATATACATCATCTTCTTCAATCCTCAAAACAACCCTGTGAGATAAGTGTTATGTATCCATAACATAGATGAGGAAACAAGTTCAGAGAAGGTGAGAAATTTGTCCAGGGCCACACAGCTGCTAAGTGATAGAACTAAAGTTCAAATCCTGTTTTTTTTCTAATCCTGAAGTTGGTACTCTTTCCATTATACAAACCACCTTACATTTTGCTTGTTATTATGACTCAGTATTTTTCCATCAATGAGCATACCTATATGTTTTAACCATAAAAAAATATTAGTCCAGGTTGTGCTATGGGCTAAACAGAAATTTCTAAGTGAAAAACTCACACAGGACTATTTCACCACTGACCACTAATAGACCATTTACCTTCTGGCAGGGATAGTGTAAGCATGTTTGTAGGTTGTGTTAATATCTTTTGGACTTAGTTTATTTATTCAACAAGAATTCATTAAGCAACCACTACGTGCCAGGCACTGTTCTGAGTGCTGGCGAATCAGCAGTGAACAAACTGAACAAAGCCCCTGTCTTCATGTAGCCTACATTCTAGACAGATGAAGGAGAACAACAATAATAAGAAAAAAGTCAAGTGGTAATAAGTGTTGTAAAGGAACGTGGAGCAAAGTAAGGGAACTTTGAATTTGGAGACGTGAATCAATTATGAGCCAGGTACTTAGGTTCAGTAAAAAAACTAAAACCAAATCCTCTGCCATCGAGTCAATTCCGACTCATAGAGACCCTATAGGACAAAGTAGAACTGCCCCAGAGAGTTTGCAAGGAGCAGCTGGTGGATTCGAACTGCCACACTTTTGGCTAGCAGCCAAGCTCTTAACCATTACAGATCTATTATTACCTATGTCTACACAGAATGTGCCCTTTAATATTTCTGTGAAAATTGTGGAGGCTAGGAATTCATGACAGTTCTATGAGATAACTATTATTATCTCTATTTTACAGAAGAGGAAACTTGAGTGTCAGTAATTTTATAATTATGTCCCAAGGTCATAGAGTAAATAAGTGGCAGAGTCCAGTTTAAACCCAGGTACCTCAGACTTGTGCCCTTGGTCACTCTGCTCTACTCCTTATTCCCCTTTGCCAGCCCCATGTTAACTTGGGGATTCCCTATCCTTTTCCAGGCACTGATGCGCAAGCGTGTGTGGCAGCCAGTACCCCCATTAGTTTCTTGAAATCTTCAGCAATAGCTCATTAAACCCAAAAACCAAACTCATTGCCAATGAGTCAGTTCTGACTCATGGTTATCCCATGTGTTACACAGTAGAACTGCTCCATAGTATTTTCTTGGCTGCAGTCTTGACAGAAGAAGATTGCTAGGCCTGTCTTCCATAGCACTGCTAGGTGGGTTCAAACTGCCAACCTTTAGGTTAATAGTCGAACACAAACTGTTTGTGCCACCTAAGGACTGTAATAGCTCATTAGCCTTAGAAAAAACTAATTGCTTACTCCACTGAGACTTTGGAGAGAGCTAAATCTATACTGCCCCACCGCAATTGGCTTTAGGAGGTACCAGACAACCTGAAGACACCCAAGTGTTTGGTAGGCGCAACTGGAAGATAACTAGGGCAGGACCAATACAGTGCCTGCTATATGGTAAGTATCCAATAACTATTCCATTTGCTGAACAGAGGAGGGAAAGGAGGAAGGCGGATGGAAGAGAGGCTGTCTTAGTTACCTAGCGCTCTCGTAACAGAAATACTACAAGTTGGTGTCTTTAAAGAACGGAAATTTATTTTCTCACAGTTCTGGAGACAAGAAGTCCAAATCAAGGTCTCGGCTGTGTCAGTTCCTTTTGTGTGCCTCTCTCCTAGTTCTGGTGTTTGCCGGTGATCCTTGGCGTTCCTTTGCTTGGAAGGATCCTCACAGTTCATCTGTCTTCCCCTGGGTGTTTGTGTCTCTCTGTCTATTCTGATCTTTTTATAACTTGGAAATTATTAGGCTTAGGATCCACCCTATACTGATACGACCTCAACTGATTGATTACATTACATTAGATTATATTATGGAAGGTGATTACATTATGTAAGGTAATCTGCTCTACCGAAGGCTAACTGATATAATCACATAGAACTACTCCATGACAGTAACTAGACTAGTTTTTGGCCAAACTACTGGGAACCATAGCCCAGCCAAATTAACACAAAAAATTAACCATCACAGAAGTCAATCCCCAGCATGGCTCTGGAACAAACTCCAATGTGATAAGTCACGTCTCAATTATATTCTGTTTTCGAAAATATGACTTATCATGTACCAGAGAGAAAATGTGATGAGCCTAGTAGGTAACATATGTAGGAGATATTATAGTAATTATTTAAAGATTCTGGGTGATTAATTCAACTTCAAAATGAAAAATAAAGCATGTTTTTAAAATAAAACGTGAGTGCAAGACTGATCGCAATTTTCTTTTTTTATTCCATATATTGTTCTAAGTAGAGTGAATGTCCTTTCTGAGCAGGAAAAATTTCATAAGCAAGACATTTTGAAGAATGGTAACAAGTTGTACATAAATTCTGTTTGTCTAGCACAAAAGATTTAAAAAAAAAAAACAAAAAACCACAGTTTTGATTGTGGCCAGTTTCAGATACTGTGACAAGCAATTAGGAATTCTCACCTGTGTTGGACAAACCAAATGAGGTTTATAACTAAACATGTTTAAATAAAATGTGCATGTGCAAGCTCAGAAAAATATCTAATGCTCACCACATCTGCTAGAGAGGCACTTCTAGAAACCCACTGATATCAGATATGTATGGCCCATGTCCTCAAACAAAAGGTTGTTTCCTGGGGTTCAGTCTTGCCGTTTAGAACGGTAGTTACTTCACAGCCCAAGGTAAAGGTTAATTTTGTTCTCTCTTCCTCTTTTTCTGTGAGATCAATGGCCTTTGCTTTGAGCAGAGTAGAGAGAACAATGATTCTGGTAACAAGCGGGTGCTGTTGCTTTAGCTAAAATTATTTTTCTTTCCTTTCAGATAATAAGCAACAAGACATTGGACTTTTATCAGGAATGGTCTTCTTTACCGTTATGTTGTCCATTCTTTCTTTGATTGGGATATTTAACAGATCACTCCGAACTAGGTAGGTTTTTGCAGAATTTCTGTTTTCTGATTTAGACCGTATATGTGCACCACCAAAACATACAGTCAATTCAGTTATTCACTAAAAAAAAGAAAAAAATTCCATTAACTTTTTATTCAGAGAAAGGAAAATTAAAAGCAACAATGTTTAACAAGTACCTACCCCTGCCAAACTCTTTAGAAATGTCATTCATTTAATCCTTATATTGACCCTGCCTGAAAAGCTTTATGGTCTTTTTTACAGATGACTTAAACAAGGCTTAGACAGGCTGAGTAGTCAGCCCAAGGTCACCAAGCACTAAGCTGGGAATCCAGCAATTATCTGAATCAACGTCCACATTCTCTCTTTTACGATACAGCCTTTTCATTGTGCTGCCGGGTTTCCTCTAGTGCCTGGATTTTTGAGAGTAGTTAAATCATAACCTGCCTCAAATTCTGTCTGAATAAATCAGCTGAATCAAATTCTGCCCCACAAAGTCAAATCTGTGAAGAGAAGTGGGCAAAAGCAACGCTTGACTTTGTCACTTCATTGCCAGTTGTGTTACCGAAGGTTTTAGCATTCAGCCCTAATGCCCTCTTCCTTGGCCTCCTTTAGTCATTTTTTTACAACATGATATTAGTAAAGACCTCTGTCTAGTTGTTGAAAAGTGAGACTTTGAGGAAAGGAAGGTCTTTGCTTTTCTAAATTTTACTAAATATATGGAGTGTTTCCAACCTGTTAATAGATCAGAGTTGTTTGGTGGCCAATCTCCCGGTATAACCAATTATTCACAAATTTTGACCCATATTAACATTTTTTGCCAAATTGACCCTGAGTTGCATCTTACTACCATCATTTGTTTCACGAGATTATCTTTATTTCTTTCAAATTTATAATCAAAATGCAGTAGAGTTAAGTGAACTGTTGTAAATATACAAATAATTTTTTATTTATGTAGATTTTTTCCTCAGAACCTAAGCAATACTTCAAAATTTATACATTAATAAACATATCCCTAATACCCTTGTGAGGGGAGCAAACGAATATGAGCTTTATTTTAGATTGCTTTAAAATATACTTGATTATAAAGCCCCTTGAGATATCTTAATGTTTAAGCTAGTAGTACGTAAAAATATTAATGTTTGTGTTATTATTGAAAGATGTCCTAGTTAGTTTGAAATTTTAAAAAAAAAAAAAACACTAACTTGGTTAGCTAAAATAACCTAAAAATTAACTTTCAGTTGGTAATGACAGATATGGAAGTAGAACAATTATTTTCTAATTTAATTATTTAAGTAAGCCTTCTTTTTAAAAAATGAAAGAAACAAATAATTTCCATGTAACTATTTTACATATGAGCATATGCTATTATTTAATATAACTATACATTAAATCTTACTTCAGAAACAGAACTAGAAAATGGAGGGCAAAACATTTCAAATATATTGAAGCCAAGGGTGGTAAATGCACATAAGGATGTTCTCTCTGTATCAGCATGTTGTCTAAAAACTTTTCTAACAGTAATGTGAACTTCACTAATTTGGTCTAGTTTTAGGTACAAAAAAAGTATAAATTACTGAAAAGTTGAATCAAAATAGTGTATAAATATGTATAAAGAAATCATTTTTACTCTAAAGTTCTAGGCCAAATTAGGCTAGCAAAATTAACTAGGCCATTTTAGTTGCTACTTCGTAGAAGTTCTTAGGGAGCCTGTGCTATGGATTGAATTGTGTCCCCAAAAAATGTGTGTCAACTTGGCCATGATTCCCAGTATTGTGTGATTGTCCACCATTTTGTCATCTGATGTGATTTTTCTATGTGTTGTAAATCCTACCTCTATGATGTCAATGAGGCAGGATTAGAGGCAGTAATGTTAATGAGGCAGGACTCAATCTACAAGATTAATTTGTGTTTTAAGTCAATCTCTTTTGAGATATAAAAGAGAGAAGAGAGCAGAGAGACAGGGGGACCTCATACCACCAATAAAGTAGTGCCAAGAGAAGAGCATGTCTTTTGGACCTGGGGGTCCCTGAGCTGAGAAGCTCCTATTCCAGGGAAAGATTGATGACAAGGACCTTCCTCCAGAGCTGACAGAGAGAGAAAGCCTTCGCCTGGAGCTTGATGCCCTGAATTTGGACTTCTAGCCTACTAGACTGTAAGAGAAAATAGTTCTGTTTTTTGAAGTCATCCACTTGTGGTATTTCTGTTGTAGCAGCACTAGATAACTAAGACAGACTGCTTCAACAGAGAAACAAGCCCGATCTGTCATTAATGGTTCATTATGTAAAAATGTGCCTTAAATCAATTTGGTCTCTTAAGTTTCTGATACAACTTGTTTGTTCAAACCAATTTGTATAGGAAATACAGAAAGTGCTTTGATTAACGCCCCAGCAGTGACAAGAGGTAGCTTGGGGTAAGAAGCAGGACATTCAGAACTTCTTTTCATCACCTCCACTCCAGTGATCTTTAATAAGCACATAGTCTAAGTAAAGACCTTATTCTCACTGTGCTACCCAGCTGGAAGACAAGTTACAGCCTTTACTCCATCCATGTAAAGAAATTCTGGGTCATTGTACCCTTACGTGGAATTATTACAAATTCATAATTAGAGGAGCTCAGATTATAGGGACCTCTTTAATATTTTTAATATTTAATATTTTAATATTTGGTTGTGGTCACCTTGGAAAGTTCTACAAAATATTCCTTAAATTTTTCAGTTTTCCACACTGACATCTCCTGCTTATAATGGTTTGTCATATTTAACAAGTGTACAGCTTCACCACCAGGAATGTTATCCTGAATCTCATATGAGTTTGTTGAAGTTTTCCTGCCCTTTTGAAAGAAGACTGATAAAGACTAGAGTACAATCTGAAAAGATATTGACTCAACTCTTAAGTATGAGGTGGAAATCTTAGCCCTTGCTTCAGGAAGTTTGATTTTTATTATGCATTCCATTCTAGTTGATTTCCTAATCTCCTTTATTGATTAACTGCATCAATCCTAAAGTAAAATATTTCTAATGTGTCATTTTTGGTTTTTAGAATTAAAAGAAGAATCTTATTGCTAATACCAAAATGGCTTCATGAAGATATTCCCAATATAGAAAACAGTAATGTGGTGAAAATGTTACAGGTAACCAAACACCGTCAAACAAAAACTGAGCGGCAGCTAAGACCAATAACTAGAGCAGACTATCCATTCAAATAAATAAATGTGTGTACATATTAGCATATAAAAACTAATTGCCATCAAGATGATTCTGACTCATGGAGATCCCATATGTGTCAGAGTAGAACTGTGTTGCATAGGGTTTTCAATGGCTGATTTTTTGGAAGTAAATCACCAGGACTTTCTTCCAAGGTACCTCTGGGTGGACTCGAACCACCAATTTTTCTGTTAGCAGCCAAGCACATTAACGATCTGCATCCCCAGGGACTGCCATATTATATATACATATGTAGAAATAAAATTATCCATATTTCAAAGAATACTTAAAAGACATGAGAGAATGGAGTTGAGGAGGGGGAGGAGAAGAGAGAAGCAAGAAAGAAACAGTGCTATTTAGAGTGGAGAAGTGAAGAGGAATATTGTAAACCAGGTGCCAGTGTCACTTGGTGACCAAGCCATTGGTAGATGACTTCAGGGACAAAGGGGGAGGGCAGAAAAGATCAAAAGAATGAGCCTTAAAGACTCAAAGGGGCTTCTTCTTATATGAGATTGTAGGAGCCGGTAGAGCCATGGAGCTCACCTCTTCACTCCTGAGATCTAGTGGAGTGCGAGAAAATAAATATGGGAGGCTATGGAGATGGTGTCACCAGGGGTGAGCCAGGTTTCCATTATGGCAAAGAAGAGAAGAGGGCACACAGGGAAGACCCTGAGGTTATAGGGACCTTGCTGGTTATGGAGGAGCAGTCCCAGGGCACACAGGGGAAGTGTCCGCTAGGTGTGTTCCTGCTACTTTCTGGCACTCGGACCCTACCTTCAAGGGACTCACAACCCAGTTGGTGGGACGGACACATCATCCAAGCGTTGAAATGCAGTGATGTTTAGTGCAGTGACAGAAATAAGCCCAAACATGCTAAGGGAGCACAGAGGAAATGTTCTGAAAGATGAAGAATTGCTCAGGAAAAGGAGAGAACATTTGGAGTAGAAGAGGACAGTATGAGCAAAGACGCAGAGGTGAGAACAGCATGTTGGCTGTTGCTTTATTGAAAAGTTTGGCGAGAGGAGTGGCTGGAACAATGCTGGACCAGATCACGGAAGGCCTTGTTGCTCTGGAACTCAGGCTTCATTCTGTTGACCTATGGTTTTCAATTTTTTTTTCTGCTTGTTTAATTTTTAGCCTGGGAACCCTTTGTTCAAATGATGTAGGGAAGCCAAGCATTTGTAAAACAAACAAAAGTTGTTCTGTTTGAAGTTCTGGTGAGAGAAAACCAGAGGCCCATTAACCACCACCTTCCCCAGCCCCGGCGGAGTCCCTAAGACAGCAACTCTCAGCTTTGTTTATGTATCTCCATGCCCAGACCACATCCCAGAATCTCTTAGGGGGGTGAGAAAGGGGAATACAAGCATAAGCATTTTTTAAAGCTTCCCAAGTGGTTCCCTTCCTGCAGCCAGAGTTGAGAACTACTTGCTAAACTATTGCTAAAGATAGGAGTCACTGAAGACTTTCCACTGGAATAGACATGGCCCCAGGAAGGAGGCTGATTAGGAGGGTCAGAGCCGTGAGAGTACAATGGTGTGGGCAAGGTGTTAAGGATCTGCTGTAGTGACGCTTTGTAGGATCTGCTGTAGTGACGCTTTGTAGAGGTCTGTAAGATAGGTATGATGGTGTCCTTGGACTATGACAAGGAGGAGGTCCTTAGTGATTCTGGCTCAGAGGGTCAATTGATAAGTGAATGGAAGGGGAAGAAGTCAAGACTAAGAGCTCAGACTTGTTTTGGTGAGTCTGGACAAGAAGAGAAGTAGAGGGAGGGCCTATATTGACACACAGTAGGCTCTCACCTACTTGTGGAAGGAAGGAATAACAGTAGCTCAAGAGCAATGTGGAATCAGCAGGGTGTATTTTTTAATATCGGGCAGACTTGAGAAGGACTATGACAGAGAGAGGAAAGAGAAGGAAAATTGACTGAACGAGACTGTGAAGAAGAGGGGAGGGGATTTTCTAAAGGGATGAGGTAGAGAGATTCACCTTGAGCAGGAGAAGGTATCCTGGTCTCCTGATACTTGAAGGAGAAGAAGGGTGTGGATGTGGCTGACTGATTCTGCAAGAGGTAATATTGCCTACTAAGGAGTCCCTGGGTGGCACAAATGGTTAATGGGTTCAACTGCTAACCAAAAGTTTGGAGGATCGAGTCTACCCAGATGTGTCTTGGAAGAAAGCCCTCGTAATCTATTTCCAAAAAATCAGCCACTGAAAATGCTATAGAGCACAATTCTACTCTGACACACATGGGGTGTCATGAGTTAGAATCTACTTGACAGCAACTGGTTTAACATTGCTTAATAACAGTGGAGGAAACCCTGGTGGTGTAGTAGTTAAGAGCTATGGCTGCTAACCAAGAGGTCAGCAGTTCAAATCCACCAGCCGCTCCTTGGAAACCGTATGGGGCAGTTCTACTCTGTCCTATAGGGTCGCTACGAGTTGGAATCGACTCGATGGCAACAGATTTGTTTTTACTGAACCTAAGTGCTTGGCTCGTGATTGATTCACATCTCCAAATTCAGTGGAAAGGTCCCTAAGTGGCGCAAGTGGTTTGCACGCTGCTGTTAACATAAAGGTTGGCAGTTCGAACCCACCCAGGGGGACTGCAGAAATAAAGTCCTGGTGATCTGCTTCTATTAAGATTACAGCCAAGAAAACCCTATGGAACAGTTCTACTCTGTAACACATGGGGGTGCCATGAGTCGGAATGGACTCAACAGCAACTAACAACAGTAACAGTGGAGGGGCGATCTAGAATGACTGAGCCCACATATATAACAAGGCACACAGTTAACAATCTAAAGACAAGTATATAGTCACCAAATTACAGCTAATAAATACTGTAGTCTTGATATTAACTCCATTTAATAATTCTATCTTGATCCCCTACTAGTTATTCTAGAGAAAGAGGATTTTAGATGTCCAGAGAATTGTCCCTGGCCTCGTTGTGATCAGGTTCTTTTCTTCCTTTGTTGTCCTCACTCTGGAAGAGCCCCTGTTGCTTTTCTGTATCCTGCACTGGTGTGATTCAACTCCAACTCGTCTCTCCACTCAGTTGCCAGCCAGAAGTGGGGAAAATGCTCCTTCCTCAGAACATAGCTACATTGCACTCAGTTTCCTGCAGCATGTCTAGTACCCTTTGCTTGGTTTGACCTTTGAACGTATGTCTACCCACCCTAACCAAAACCTGACAAATTTCCTGGAGAGGCTAGGGCTGAAGAAACTTGGAGAAACACTGTGCACTGCTTTATTTGAGGTCCTCTGTCTTTACCAAACTCCCTTCCAATTCTGGACTCTTGGAATTAGAGTTGAACTTTGGGGCCTCCTTTAGAACGAGGTTTTGTTTTCCACCCAAGAGACAGAGGGGTGACTATAATTCTATCATTGTATTAGGTGGGAGGCCGGCCATCAACTGGGAAGCCTCAAGTCCTTTCTTGTCCAGAAGAGTCATGAGGCTTTCAAATAAATTAAAACCTTCCTCACCCACCTCCTGACCATCACCTACATGTCTGAGCTCTGAGTAGCTGCACACCTTTAGAACCTCAGGACACAGCATTTATCACAGCCTCATTCTCAGTGTGTAAGCAAAGTAGGATTCCCCTCCCTCTTCCTTTTATTTAAGCAATCAAGTATTTTCTTGTAGTAAGGCTCCATTATATTCCACAATATTTCAAATTCCATTTTTAAAAAGGTCCTGAAACAATATCCATGTTAATGTGTAGGTGAATATGAAACTCTCCTTTCTCTTTAAAATTTTTAAATCAAGAAATGTGCTTAAGACATGGATTGTTTTTATTACTCATGTCCTTTATTCCACTCATAGGAAAATTTAATAAAGACTTGGAATCAAGCAAGCTAACAAAAGGCAAAAGAAGGAAATTATAAGGGAAATAATATGAAAAAAAAAGAAAGGGGCAAAGGAAAGCAAAGTTCCAGTCCTTATTCTATTATTTGGTTGGTCCCTTTAAATGTCTTTTGTTTAAAAATATATATATTTTTTTCTTCCTAGGAAAAAAGTGAATTTATGAACAATAATTCCAGTGAACAGATCCTATATGATGATCCCGTGATTACAGAGATAAGAGAAATTTTTCTCCCAGAAGAACATAAGCCCACAGACTACAAGAAAGGAAATAATGCTGGACTCCAGGAGACACGAGACTGCCTGCAAGAGTCACTGCTCACCAATACTACAGTTGTGTACATCCCTGATCCCAACACCGGATATAAACCCCAAATTTCAAACTTTCTTCCCAGGGGAAATTCTGTTAGTAATAATGATGACACAGATTCTTCAACTCTTAAGCCACCAGTTGATTTCTTAGATCTAGGAAAGAATACCATATTTAAAAAATATCCAAATTTTCCTTTTTCTATCTCAAGTATGAATTCTCTAGGCAACGCACTATTTCTGGAAGAATTAAGCCTCATTTTAAATCAAGGAGAATGCAGTCCTCATGACATGCAAAACTCAATAGAGAGGGAAACCGCCATGCTTTTGGAAAACAGTTCATCCAATGAAACTATTCCAGAACAGACCCTACTGCCTGATGAATTCGTCTCCTGTTTAGGGATCATGAATGAGGAGTTGCCATCTATTAATCCTTATTTTCCACAAAATATTTTGGAGGAACATTTCAATAGGATTTCACTCTTGGAAAAATAGAGTTTTATGGTCAAAATCAATATGGAAAATTTGCCTTGTGATCTGAAGTTGGATCTTCCCTTCAATATAAATTTGATTCTGCCCTCTTTTTTAACAATTAGAGAATTAAGATCCAAAGAAGGGACATACTTTGTGGTTTCAAAAAAACACCAATATTTGGGATACCTCGTGTATTTTTTGTTTTTTTTTTTTTTTTTGAGGTCGTTGTTAGGTGCTGTCGAGTTGGTTCTGACTCATAGCGACCCCATGTACAACAGAACAAAACACTGCCTGGTCCTGCGCCATCTTCACAAACGTTGCTATACTTCAGCCCATTGTTGCAGCCACTGTCTCAATCCATCTTGTTGAAGGTCTTCCTATTTTTCACTGACCCTCTACTTTATCAAGCATGATGTCTTTCTTCAGGCACTGATCCCCCCTGATAACATGTCCAAAGTATGTGAGACGTAGTTTTGCCATACTTGCTTCTAAGGAGCATTCTGGTTGTACTTCTTCCAAGACAGATTTGTTCGTTCTTTTGGCAGTCCATGGTATATTCAACATTCTTTGCCGACACCACAATTCAAAGGTGTCAGTTCTTCTTTGGTATTCCTTATTCATTGTCCAGATTTTGCATGAATATGAGATAATTGAAAACACCATGGCTTGGGTCAGGCGCACCTGAGTCTTCAAGGTGACATCTTTGCTTTTCAACACTTTGAAGAGGTCTTTTCCAGCAGATTTCCCCAGTGCAATGCATCTTTTGATTTCTTGACTGCTGCTTCCATGGGCGTTGACTGTGGATCCAAGTAAAATGAAATCCTTGACAACTTCAATCTTTTCTCCATTTATCATGAAGTTGCTTATTGGTCCAGTTGTGAGGATTTTCGTTTTCTTTACGTTGAGGTGTAATCCATACTGAAGGCTGTGGTCTTCGATTTTCATCATCAAGTGCTTCAAGTTCTCTTCACTTTCAGCAAGCAAGGTTATGTCATCTGCATAAAGCAGGTCGTTAATGAGTCTTCCTCCAATCCTGATGCCCCATTTTTCTTCATTTTTTTTTTTAAGGTATCAACTATTTTCTCTGTATTTTCCCTCATTGCAAGGGGCAGAACAGCTCTCTAAAATCTAAAATGTGTGGTGGTGTTGTGGATTGAATTGTGTCCCCCAAAAAGATATGTTACAGTCCTAACCTCTGTAACCTGTGAATGTGACCTTGTTTGGAAATAGAGTTTTTCTTTCGTTATTAATTCATACTGGCGTAGGGTGGTCCTGATCCCAATCCCTTCTGAGTGGTGTTTCATAGAAACAGAGTCGCACACACAGGGGGAGGACAGATGCCATGTGACAGCAGAAGCAGATGCATCTGTAAGCAGCAAAGGAATGCCAACGCTTGCTAGAAACTAGGACAAAGTCTTGCAATGGCTCCTTTTTCAAAGCTCTCAGAAGGAATGAACATAACCGATACCCTATTTGAATTCCTAACCTCCAGAACTGTGAGAAAATAAATTTTTGTTCTTTAAAGCCACCCACCTTGTGGTGGTATTTTGTTATGGCAGCCCTAGGAGAAGTAGCCCTGGTGGAGCGATGGTTAAGTGCTTGGCTGCTAACTGGAAGGTCAGTGGTTTGAACCCACCAGCCATTCCGTGGGACACCCAAAATGATTAAAAACCCATTGCTGTCAAGTCGATTCCAACTCATACTGACCTTATAGGACAGAGTAGAACTGCCTCATAGGATTTCCAAGGAGCAGCTGGTGGATTTGAACTGCCGGCCGACCTTTTGGTTAGCAGCCAAGGCTAGGAAACCCTATGGCGCAGTTCTACTCTGTCATATAGGGTCGGAATTGACTCAGTGGCACACAACAACAACAACATCCCTAGGAGACTAAGACAGGTGGTGAAATGAATGCCAAAAACATTTCTTTAAAATTGGCTAATTAATATTTGTTAACAAAGAGAGAGAGAAACTAATTTAATTTTCATTTTATGACTTAAAATTCCACTAAGTAGATAAAAACATAGCCCAAATCAACAAAATAAGTAAAGGATACTAACCAACGAGTAACTAATTAGCATATTTGCTGTATTATTTTCCCATTACTTTCCATTCAGGTATTAGGGATTTGACCTTCCCTTATTTTGATTTTAGGCTAAGAGCTGTAAAACAACGATGTGTGGAAATCATGAGATTGTCGTTTTCATTCAAGTTAAGAGTGATGGCCTTGCTCTCCTGTGACATAGATGGTGTTATTCACACTGTAGTAGAACCCATCAGAGGTAATAGATGCAGGAACAGCAAGGTGTAATTTTTTTAACTAACCAGGTATTACATGTATGTCAGAAAAGTATTGTTAAAACAGACGTCTGTCCAAATCTGGGATGTCAAATACCTGCCACACCTGCCATTGTTCCCTATCCCATGTGCCCAGCAGGCATCACCAACTGATCACCATCTGCCTTTCTGCTTGCCCAGAGGTGGCCTCCCAATCCTTGCAATACAGTGTTCCTTGTAGCCACAGTCAACAAAGGCTGGGACTGGCGATGAAATCCATCTGCTAACCAGGTCAACATTGAAAGGTGTGGGATCTTAAAACTATGAAGTGAACATTTTAAACTGACAAAAGGTATCCATCAGACTTTTCTATTCTGATTAATTTGTATGGTCAAGGGAAAAAAATTTTCCAATGATCAAAACAATTTGAAAATAGGGTAGGTTACCAATTAAATTTCTCTTTCTGCTCTAACAGTTGTCTACAGTAATAATTTGTATTTAGATTTACTAGTTTAATTTTATTATAAGAAATGAAGCAGTTAATCAAAAAGGACCAGTTGCCTATCATGTGTTTAATACATGAGCAAGCTATTTTGTTTTGTTTTCTTTAGAAAAAAATCTGAGAGTGTTTTCTTTTTTTTCTTTGTCATTAAGTGCCCCCATGAGGAGGATGACCCATTTGCTCTGGGTTTGTCTGTTGTCCCAGTATGATTATTACCAGCGTCCCCTTTTATTCTCAGAAGTATGCATCAACCCAGTTTGGGTAATAAGTCATATCATGTCACTCTGTCTACAAGGACTGTTTACTGTCGATCATGTAAGTAATTCAGGAGCCCTGGTGGTACCGTGGTTAAGAGCTTGGCTGCTAACCAAAAGGTTGGCAGTTCGAATCCACCAGCTGCTCCTTGGAAATCCTATGAGGCAGTTCTACTCTGTCCTATAGGGTCAGTATGAGTTGGAATTGACTGGACAGCAATGGGTAATGGGTGGCACAGTGGTTAAGTGCTTACCTCTAACTGAAAGGTTGGTGGTTCAAATCCACCAGCCACTCCACAGGAGAAAGATGTAGCAGTCTACTCCTGTAAAGATTACAGCCTTGGAAACCCTATGGGGCAAGTCTACTCTGTCCTATGGGGTTGCTATGAGTCAGAATCGAGTCAACGGCAATGAGTTTTTGGTTTATATAAGTTATTCATTTTCTTTTCTTTTGACATGACAATCCCCTTTACCTTATAACACTTACTAATGCCTTTTTCTTTGGAAACCATGGTGGTGTAGTGGTTAAGACCATGGCTGCTAACCAAAAGGTTGGCAGTTCGAATCTACCATGTGCTCCTTGGAAACCATATGGGGCAGTCCTACTGTGTCCTATAGGGTCACTATGAGTTGACTTGACGGCAATGAATTTCATGGCTTTTAATGCCATTTTGCTCCAAAATGGAACACTACTATTCACAGTATAGAAAACTTATGCCCTGCTGCTAAATTCTATTCTGTTTATCCTAAAATATATTTATATTTGTTAGAATTTGCATATTCTGAAAAGAGTATATTTTAAATTGCTAATGCAATCCTAAGATAAAACAAGAGAGAACTAAGAGGGAAGGGAGGGAGCTGTTCTCCAGGGCTCCAGAGGGCCAGGCTGCTTGGGATGTAGTTGGGAGTCTTTTTCCCTCTGGGTCAGTGTTCCTGTTTTCCGAGCTCCATAGGAGGTGTGTGTGTGTGCACAAGAGTGTGCATGTACCCTGGTGTCCCCAGATGCACTGGTGGCAGGCCGGGCACGGGAAAGGCATGCACACCCCATGTCCAGCGCAGGGGAAGTTGCTGTCACTCCCTTGTCCTTGTGACTTCACTGCCCAGGGCTACCAACAAGGAAGGAATTGACACCGCTGAGATTCTGATTTGGACAGTTAGCCTTTGGAATTGTGAGAAAATAAATTTCTGTTCTTTCTAGAATTCTTTTATCAGCAAGTATTTATTTAAGTGTTGAATGTTCTTCTACTTGCAAAGCACTTTGAGGGCTAAAGATGTTAACAAAAGCAGTCAAGTTCCTGTTGCCATGGGGCTTATATTCCAGAAGCAGGAGACAGGCAATAAATGGGACCCACTCATTGCCCTCAGGAAATTACATCTTAGGGGAGAGGGGGATGGAGAGAAGCAGAAAAATAAAGAAGAAAAATGCCAGATAATATTAAGTGCTATGTAGAGGTAAAGTGGGATAACATGGTGGAGAGAGGCTCGGTAGCCACTGTACACTGAGTGGTCAGAGAAGTGTCTCCTGGGAGGTGGCATGGACACTGCAAGAAGGAGACAGCATGTGAGAATCAGGTTGCCACCTCCAAGTCCCTTCTATATAAAAATTCTGAAGTGGCTAATGTCTCTATTTCTTTCCAAGTTGCCCCCACAACCTGTCCGTTCCCCTTCCTCAGCCAGAATTTTCTGTGGATTCTGGGGACAAGTGTGTATCTTTTCATATTTCCGTCTAGCCCTTGAGCCTATCCATGTTCTTACTCTGAGTCACACAATCTTGCTGCTACTTCCTAAATGAATTGTCATGCTTAGTGGTGTGGGTTAAGGGGAAGGAGGAAGAGAGAAAGTGGCCAGGCACCACTGAGAAGGAGAAAGGGGAGAGAAATACAAAGAAAGAAAAGGCAGATTAATAGTAATGCTGAGCAAATTGGGGTGCCACAGTCTTGGACAATACTAAAGCTGATTAAGGGGCAGAATTCTCCCATTTTGGCCTTGGTCAAACCTTCCTCAAATATACATATATATATTTTTTTCCTCTGCTAATCTACAAATAGTATTATAACCAAGATTAGTAACCTAGTCCATTTGCCATTCTAGTT